AAACCTATTTTCCTCGCTATATCTTATTCATTGGCTCCTTTGATATATGATTCTGTTCTTGAGTCGTGATAGAGCTTTTCCTAGGGTTCATATTGTGTTTATGTGATAATCTTTATGTTTATGTGTTAATCTTGATGCTTGTGTGATAATATTGATGTTCTTGATGCCATGATAAGTTATTTATTTTGATTATGTCTAGAGCCCTAGGGTAGTAACGTAGATTTCGTATTATGTTATTCTTGGTATGTTTGGGGTGGGACTTTGCATGATCGGGTGTTGAGTCTTGGCATGTTTAGGAGTCGTGTTAGGATGTATTTGGTGTGATTCTTGGTTTAATTCCGTTACTTGAATACGTGGTGCTGTCATTTATATTTGAATGTGTCTGGACATGGTTTCGGGTTTCACGAAAGATCCCGGGACCAAATATTACATATGAGTCAGTGGGGGGTAGGTGGGGGCAGGGGTGCCTGCCACCTACCCGCTGCCCTTGCCCGATTACTGCCTGCCCACCGGGCACCCGCTGGGATTGAAGCCGCCGCCGGCGGGTGGTCCTCCACCCACCGTCGACCCGCTGGAAAGTTGGTGGGTAAGGTGATATTTTCCCCCGTTTGTTGTTTCCCTGTGTCCCGTTGTGTTCCGTTGTACCCTGTTTGTCGTGTGTGAGTCTAGTTTGATGTATCGGGTACCGTTCTTAGGACAAAAGAGTCTTGTGTATTGCAAGCTAGATGAATTGGTATCCCGTTGGCCTAGGAGGAAGGTGTATGATCCCGTAGGAGTGTTATGGGTGGGTTAATGTAGTTTATTACATATGAGTTATGATGGGTTACGTGTTCCCCGAGGGTTCCCCCTCGTTATGTGTTAATGTGGGTTGCATGTTGTTTGGCTTCTATGTTGTTGTGCATGATAACCCAATTGATTGCAATCAATTGGCTATAATGACTATCTGGTGGGTTGAGAACCACCAGGTATTAACCCGACTGGTTGCGATCGGTCGGCTATACAGACAGTTGGATCGGTTGAGAACAATCGGGTGTTATATATATATATATATATATATATATATATATATATATATATATATATAGGGCTGCGGTCCATAATCTGGTTGCAATCAGACATATATGATAATAGGGCTGCGGTCCACCGTTTGGTTGCGATCAAACATTTATGATACAAATGAGCTGCGGTTCATTGATTGGTTGCGATCAATCTCCTTGTGCTGTGGTACAAGTTAAAGTGTTGCGGGGCCGTGTCAGAGCTATATGCGTTGACCCTCATGTATGGGCATGTGATTGGTCCTGCGGCACCACCATATGTGTGCACACCATTACGTGTCTTGTTGTTGATTGTGTGATGATGACTGAATAATGATATGATTGGTATTGCGTAGTCGTATAACCTTAGGATGCATGCTAGAATCTTTATGGTTGTGTCTAATTGTGTTGAAAGTATCTGTTATTGCTTGGTTGAGTCTGCTCTCGGATTTAAATTAGAGTTTCTTAAGTATATATGTATTCCAGTTTCAAAATGAGTTTCTTATATCTACCTATACTGTACTTAACGCGTTGGAGTGGGTTACCAGCATTATTCGCCGACGGTTGTTATACCGAATGTTTTTCAGGTAATGAGCCTTAGCTTTGGAACGCGCTAGTCAGAGCCTGGACTTAGTTAGATTAGTTCAATTATCGGCCTGCGTGCCTTGAAGTTGTATCGAATATTGATTTGAGGATTTCTTATGTTTGGATAGTTTAGCTTGTGCATCTGAGTTCTCCAGCTCAAATGTGGCATAGCACCCCGACTATTATGTTTAGTTTATGCTCTGTTTGGGAACTTATAATAGATTTGCCTTTATTTCATAAGCTTTAAAAGTTTTAAAAATTAGGGGTGTTACAATTACACTCAGTACTTGAGCCTTTTCTGGTTCAATTCTTAGGTGTGGAAGAAGTTTGGGGTCAAGGAAGCTGTGTGTGCTTCCACTATCCACAAGAATTACTATTAGTTGTTTCTGGATTGCCCCTAGTAGCATGATGGCATTCAGTCCTTCACCACCTATCATAGCATAAAGGGAGACTTTAGCTTGCTCTCTGTCCTCAGTTCCCTCCTGCTCTTCACTAACTAATTCATCAGATGCATCTTGGAATTCACCCTCCTCAATAGTATGAAGAGTAACCCCTTTACATTTGTGCCCGGGTTGCCAAGGTTCAAAACATTTGAAACACTTATTTTGTTCCCTTAACTGTACCCTAGTCTTTGCAGTGGTATTCAAATTGTTGGAGGCTGTGGACCATTGGGAATTATAAGTCTTAGAGGCTGAATTTGTGTTATAAGGCTTAGGTATGGAAGGATTAAGTGTAGTTGGGGGTGATTTAGCTGTATATGGGAAGGATACTTTTGGTTGTTGCTCATTGGATTTTAAACCCTTTTCAAGTTGTTTAGCAATCCACATTGCATCTGCTAGAGTTTTTGGTTGGGAGGTTCTGACAAAACACCTCAGATTAGGTCTTAATATGGCTAGGTATGCTTCCAAGAAATACAAGTCAGTAAGGGTGGGATGTTTTTGGACAAGTAGGCTTCTAAATTCCTCAAATTTGTCTAAGAACTCCATCACCCCTCCATTCTGCTTAAAGCAAGCAAACTCCTCCATTACTGCCCCACTGTCTTCTCTAAACCTCCTACATACTGCATCTGCAAAATGAGACCACTGGAAAGGTCCCTCCATGCCAATCAGGTATCCCTCAAACCACACACTCACCTTCCCGGTCAGATTCACATACAATACATGCATTATTTCGATTATGGGAATGTGAGACATCAATAGAAATCTCTCACATCTATTAATCCATAACCTAGGTTGTTCGTAATCGAAAGGAGGGAAATCGTATCTGTACCTCATTAATGGAAGCTCTCTAGCTTGCCTTAAGGGTGCTGGCCTCTGGACTCCCCTTCTTGTCCAATCTGCACCCACTTCCGGATCTACTTCACTGCCCGATTCCATAACCTCACCTATTCCTCCTTCTATTCCTCTACTGAACTGCACTGCTGGTGCTTTCCTAGCCTCTGAGTTTGGTGGTGCACAATTTGGCAGTTCATTTCAGATCCCATTTACTGATGATCCACCAGGGACAGAGCTCATGATTAGAGGTTGTGGACGATTGAGTCGAATCGTTTCCACGATCTCATTTTTCCATTCTCCCATTTGATTTTCCATTTGAGCTGTCAGCCTTTCCATCAGATCTGTAGTCGTCTTCTTCTGAGCTTCCATCTGACCACTCAGATCGGCCACCACTAGTTCTAGTTGATTCAAGTGTGCCTCCATTTGAGGGCTCTGATACCAGATGACACGATCCTAGGGTTTAGAACTTAAGAGAGAGAGAGAGAGAGAGAGAGAGAGGGGGGGGGGGGGGGGGAGATGAGAAAGAAAACTATTTCTGCATTACAAAACTAAATGAAGAGTCTTAGTACACACATTTTGCTTATTTGAAAAAATTGATTCTAACTAACAAACAGACATTAGTAAAATAGTGTCATTAGACAATCCCCTAACTGTGCTTTTAACTTCCTTTTCAAATGACTGCGTTTTGCTCAATGGCTAACCACTTTACCCGCTGCGGCATCATACTATGTCGTTTGCTCCTTCTTCTTCTGGATCAACTTCCAGAATGATTACACCATGATAGAGTTATGGGCAATGCTAAATGAAGAAGAAGAGGTTTCACCACCCAATGAGACTACCATCACTGCCCTGGAATGGAAGAGACTACGAAACACATTTTCAGATCTTGTCCAAAAGCATTAGAAGTCTGGAATGGGCTCCAAGGAATGACAGGGAGTTGGAACACCCAACTGCCTAGTTTTAAGGCTTAGATTGAAAGCAATATCAAACCTAGCAGAATAAATAACGATGATATTGATTGACCTACCATGTTTGCTGTCAGTTTATGGTGGATATGGAGGTGGCGCAACAATGGTCTATTCAAGGGAGAAGAAACTGATCCTAGTAGAAAGATTGTTACACTACTAGAAGCGGCAAAGGAAATCAATTCTACGTCTAACCGTAAGCAAAGGGATAGCTCAAACATCCATATGCGCAAATCTGTCAACCCCAATTGGAATCACTCCAATAACCATGAGTGGACGCTAAATGTAGATGCGAGTGTAAAAATTTCATCTCAAAAGGCAGGTTATGGCGGCATCCTCAGGAATGCCCATGGCGAGTGGAAGGGAGGTTTTATTGTCAAATCCAACCATAGCGACAAACTCTTTATTGGTTGAAAGTTGCTAGCTCCGATAGAAAACCAAACTTAGGAATGGTTCCAAACCTAAGGGAACTTGGTATTTTCATTGAAGGCCAATTGGCGCCTTGCTATCTAGGGAGCCTTGTGTATTTACATCTACTTGAGAAGTTAAAGTTTGAAGTAGGAAGAGTTGAGCGTTTTATCTACCAAAAGGGTTTCCACCAAACCTTAAGAAGTTGACACTTCGGTATACTTATCTTCCGTGGAAGGAGATGGACACAATTGGCAAGTTGCCGCACCTTGAGGTGCTTAAACTAAAAGATTTTGCCTTTTGTGGCCCAACGTGGGAACCATCGGAGCAGGGCTTTCGGGAATTAAAGGCACTTCTTATTTCACTTTCAAATCTCGAACATTGGAATGCAAGTTCTAATAATTTCTCAATTTTGGAGCGCCTAGTCTTAAGATATTGTTGGGAATTGAAACAAGTTCCACTGAATTTTGCAAAAATTGGAATACTAAAGTTAATTGTGTTAGAATGTTGTTATTCTTCTCTTGTGACTTCTGCAAAGCAGATTTCTTCTGCAAACAAGTTATTGTTTGAGGGAATGGCAGACTGTCCACTTCGTGTTCGTAAAGTTGGAATTGAGGTTTCTATCTAATTCTTGTTCTTTATTTCAAAATATTGATTTTCTGCCTCCTAATTCCATGTATTAATTTAATTAATTAAGTATTTATTTTTGTACTCATTTTCTATTACTTTTCAAGGTTGAATTGCCAAATAATGAAAGCTTTGAAGAAGAAAGTGTGGAAACCTCTGATGAAGAAAGTGTGGAAAGCTCTAAAGAAGAATGTGTGGGAAGCTCTAAGGTTTCTCTCTAATTCATTTTCATTATTTCAAAATATTAGATTTTTTTTCCTTCTAATTCCATTTATTAAATTTCTTTTTTTACTAGCTCATTTTTTTATTACTTTTCAAGGTTGAATTGCCAAATAACGAAAGCTTTGAAGAAGAAAGTGATGAAAGCTCCAAAGAAGAATCTGTTGGAAGATCTAAGGTTTCTCTATAATTATTGTTAATTATTTGAAAATATTAATTTTCTGTCTTGTAATTCCATGTATTATTTTTTTTTTTCTCATTTTCAATTAACTTTCAAGATTGAATTGCCAAATAATGAAAGCTCTGAAGAAGAAACTGTAAAAAGCTCCAAAGAAGAAACAGTGGATAAAGAAGAAAGGTCATGATCATTTCTGAATAAGTTCTCTGTTGCTTTCATGAGTTCATTGCTGAGCCAGTCCAATGCAGCAGATTGAAGTATGACGTTCATCATCTCGCTTTCGGGATAAAACAAACAGAGAGCTGAGCTACGATTTCTTGCTGCAATTCTTCAATTGAACTCTTCAATTGAACCTCGGTCAGTACGTACTGGTGCATCAATATAATGTGTTGTATTTTTGGTTTTTATTTGATCTGAACAATTCAGCTGTGTGTGCTATGATGTTTCTCTGCTCCAATGACACCATGGCTAAGTTGTAACAATCCACTGTTCAATTCAGTATTTTTTTTTTACAACATATTGAAATGTTTTAGAACATAACTGTTGATAAGCATACCCCAAGTGTTGAAGAACACTGAAGGAAGTGTTGAAAGCTTTGAAGAAGAAAGTGATGAAAGCTCTGAGAAGAAAATGACTGAGGAATTCAAGAAGCCAATGTATGTATCCCTTTGGAACACTACTGGAAATTATTAAATTTCCGACCACCTGAAAGTGATCTTAAATTAAGTCAAAAGTCTTGTTCCGACCACTTTTGGTATCCGGAAAAATCTTTGTTGCTATTCCCGACTAGTTTTTGGTTTCATTTTGATTTAAGATCACTTTCAGGTGGTCAAAAATTCCATAATTTCCAGTAGTGGAATATGTACATCAAATCAAATCAAATGCCTTAATAACCAATTACATTCTAGATTTATTTAAACTTAATAATTTTTCTGTCATTACTAAGGGAAGTGCAAAGACAAGGCTCTGGAGTAGAAGGAAAACTTTTTTCGTCGAGCCCCGGGTAACCAATACCCAGATTGTCCTCCGGCTAATACGGAGTTTAGCTTCTATCAAATCCCATTTTGGGGAGCTCTGCCGATGTCTGTTGTTTCAACATGGTTTGCAATTGAGAACAAGAAGAAAACTTTAGAAGAATAGAAGAAGCATTTTCTCCTATTTGCTTTGGTTCTGTTGCACGTGGTGTTTTAATGCCAAAATTGGTAAATACTTTGAGATGGTTTTTGCTAATTGTTAACTTTAGTCAAGAAATATACAAATTAAATGATCATTTTCTCGTAAGGTGAACCAGCTTGCTTCTATGTTCGTCTTTTAGTTCATCATGTGGATGATGCCCACGTATTATCACTCTTGTCGGAAATGTTCCTAATGATGCAATAGTTGTTTCATAATCAAGAAATTAAATAGCACAAGATAAGAGGAATCAAATCCGAACTTCTCAGTAGCTGTAATGTGTAAAAGTATTCCTCTTAGAGCATTTTTGTTTCCTATTTTGAACAATGTGGTTAGTTAGCTTACTGTTTTCTTGTTGGTTTTGTAAAGAAATCGCCAACAAATGTGTGCATTCTTGTTTGGTTTGGTAATTAATACCCAGCCCTTATAGCTCAGTGGTAGAGTGTCAGTCTTGTAAACTGAAGGTCTGTAGTTCAATCCTGCATTGGGGCATAATATATAATTATTATATTCAGATCTGACAAAATACAACTCCAAATATTTTGTTGATTGGCCGAGGGGAGGATTTGGATTTTCCATCCTTTGATAAGTACGGAGTAATAAATGAACTTGATTAGAGGTGTTTTAGTCAATTAACCAGTCTATGTACTGTAGTGTTTTGGTCATTTTAGTCCTTGTACCTTAATTTTGTTCAATTCAATCCATGTACTTTAAAATTTAGAACAATTAATGATAAACTTAACACCGTTTATTTTTTCATTAAGTTTGTCCACGTGGCGTTCGATTTGTCATGTCAGATTTTGTGACATGGTATTGCCATGTCAAGTTTATTTTTTCCGTTAATATTGTTTTATGCCAGATCACAAAACTTGACATGGCAATACCATGTTACAAAATCTTACATGGCAAATCGAACGCCACGTGGACAAACTTAATGGAAAAAATAAACAGTGTTAAGTTTTGTCTTTAATTGTTCTAAATTTTAAAGTATAGGGATTAAAATGAACAAAACACTTCAGTACATGAACTTAGCAGGTACTTTGACCCTATTAACCTATCCTCATACCTATTTCTTTAATCTATCATTGTTAAGTGAGTGCTTAACTATAAGGTCTAAGCAAACACTTGTGTGAGATCGTCTCACGGGTCTCAATTTGTGAGACGGGTCGAAACTTTGATTAATGAGGTCAAAGATTCGACCCGTCTCACGGATTGAGACCCGTGAGACGGTCTCACACAAGTGTTACCCATAAGTCTATAACACTTTCTACTCTAAAATCCAATAATAATGAATGGAATTAAAAATAACTAAATTTATTTCTAGGTAAAATTTCAAGCTTAAGTCTCATGAATGACACGGTGTTATGTGGACGCGGGTTTCCGGCACGACACGGACGAGGCTACGTACGGCATGATAATAATAGCGCCAGATGGCTCTTTCGTGGCAGCAAGGAATGGCAAATTACCGATTTGTTTTTCACCACTTATGGCGGAGGCCCAGGCATACAAGGAAGCACTATCCTGGCTACTTGAACGAAACAACACATCAGTAAGTTTACTCACGGATTGCATGGAATTGGCTACAATTATCCGACACCATCACACGCCGATCCATTCGTACGTTGGGGTCACGATTGACCAGTGCAGAACGTTTATGTCTTTATTTTTTATTTTTTGAAAATGTTTATGTCTTTATTTAATCGTATTACTTTGGATTACATCTCTAGACAGGTTAATTTACATGCGCATACTTTAGCTACGTTAGCATTTACACAGGATCAAGCTATGTACTGGGATGCTATCCCACCTGACGCTATTTCGGCTTTGATTCATTAATACAATCGCAAGATTGACCTTCAAAAAAAAAAGTCTCATGAATGAAATAACATGCACAATTCTTCTTGTTTGTAACCTAATAGTAGTTCAATTCTAGATTAATCAAAATTTTATGTAAAAGTATTAGAGAGGGACAGCCAAATAGGAAAGGGCATGTACGTGGTTTAGGAGTTCATGGTTTAATTTTCCTATTTTTGAGATAAATAAAATGTTTCAGGTCCCATTATTACTTTTTTTTTTTTTTTTTTGAAAGCAGGTCCCATTATTACTTCATTATTCATATGTAACATGAAACATACAGAGTAATAATTAATTCATAAACCCAAAATAAAATAATTCCAAACTATTGAGAAAGAGATATAGTTCAAAAACCAATAATTAATTATGAAGAGATGTTTCAGTAGCTTCACCCAGGCACTTTGGTAAGCAGAATGATAGGTTAAAAGTTGTAAATGTCCATTTTATCCGTGCTTGAAATTAAAGGTTAATTTTTTATTATCAAGAAATTGACGAAAAATGGATTGGAATGACCATTTTGCTAAAAAAACAATAGTCGTTGACCGATATTGTAAGGTTTGAAAGTCGGATCAATCATGATAATGTCACTATAGTCGTGAGACCAAAAGTGCGAAAAACTCACTTATTGTGCCAACAAAATATTTCTATTTCATTTATTATGGTATTGATATTAAATCTAATTATAACAGAAGAAATTATAAGAAAAACTAATTACAATTGCTAAAAGTTAAATCTTTTTTATTTTTTTTGAAACACAATACCTATTATGTCCAATGCATTTTTTTTTTAAAAAAATTATGCTAGATAATAATATTTCTTATCATCAAAAATTAAAATTCTATAGGGTTAAGGGTCAAATAAGCCCTCCAACAATATGTCAAAATGCAATTAGACTCTCGAACTAAAAACAACTTCAATCAAATCCTTAAATTGATTATTACTTTGTTTTTACCTACAAATTAAGATGATTGCACAAATTTAAGAAGTTATGGACTTAGTTGCATACAAGTGAATAGATGAAGGATCTAATTGAAGCTTTTGTTTGTTTATAGGAATAATTGCACTTTGGCAATACAAGGAAGAAGTATTTTGCCCAACTTCAAATGTTGGTACATGTCGTTGCAATTTTGATTTGTTAGATTTTGACTCTATAAATTTTTAAAAGAAAAAATGGCACGTTTCCCCATTAATTATTTGCTTATAGCAATTTTGACGGAAAGTCTTGTGGTCGAGCGGCGTAACTTCTCAAATGAGAAGTCTCAGGTTTGAACCCCAGTGTGGGAACATTGACTCTTTGTGCTTCAATACTTTGAGAAAGTATGTATGAACAGATACTACATTGTAATAGAGTCAGTAGTGTTCAAAAAAAAAAAAAAAAAACTTATATGCTTATAGCGATTTTCTTCCTTAAATTATTCATGTATTCATATTAGTCCAATCAATTATTTTAAAAGTAGAGATATTTCCCCTTCTATGTTAAATGGGTGTTAAGACTTTTAAATATATGAGCAAAATATGTATTTCATTTATTTTTTCTTTTCTAAAAAATTATTACTTATATGTGAAAATAAGAATAAATGCGAAAAAGAACCGACATCATTTGCAAAGATTATAATTATAATTATAATTTTAAACTAATGCTAGTAACATAATTGAAACTTAAATACAAATAATTCATTATTTTTAATTTTTTGTTTAAGTCTTAATTTTGTTACTAGCATTAATTTAAAATTTTAATTATAATATTTGCAAATTTACACATACAAGTAATAATTTGTTGGAGAAGGAAAATGACTTGAAATACTTATTTTGTCCTTATTTTAACTGTCCAAGACCCCATTTAACAGTGAGTGGGAAAAATCATCACTTTCAAAATAACCGAGAGGCTAATGTGGATACATGAGTAATTTAAGGAAAAAAAAAAACGTTATAAACATACTATTCATGGAGAAAAAATGCAATTTTTCCTTTTTAAAATTTAAAATTTAGACCACTGAACAGGGCGTTTGGTTGGAGGGAATTAAATTCCCTTCCCACTTAATTCCCACCTAATTCCAAATGTCATAAAATTCCTTAGCTTGGTTTGAAAGATTTGCAATTCCATGGAATTGCAATTCTCCCATTTTCATGGAATTAAAATCCCATGTCCCCCCCCCTGCCTCCTGCGATTTTAATTCCTGGAATTTTAGAAAGAAAAAAGCTAGTGATGAGACAAAATTACCCCTCTCTTTTTTAATCTAAAATTAATACCACAACAAAAATGGGCATTTTGGACTTTATACTACTTATTCCCTTTCAATTCCCATGTATACCAAACATTGGAATTGAAATTCCTAATTCTATTCAGGTAAACCAAAACTGGAATTTAAATTCCCACTTTATTCCTAATAATTCATCTCCCATGGAATTGCAAAATTCCTTTCCCAAGTAATTCCCCTCCCCCTCTCCAACCAAATGCCCTGTAAAGGAAAGAGGAACACTGATCGAATTTGTAGTGTAGTGGATCGGCAACA